ATTATTCTATTTTAGGAAAGTATTTTATCTGACAACAGATAAATAAGATTATATATATTATTAATATATAATAATAAATATAATAATAACAATAAAGAAAGCTCTGTGGCATTTTACAGATTTTACACAGCCTGAAAGAAAACGTCAAAAAGTCCTGGACTTTATGTGCCTTGCCTTCTTTTTTGGTATCAAAGAAGAACACATGTTTGTTGGGCTGCTTCCCCTCTGCGTCCAGGAGATGGAGCTCTGACTTCAGCCTCTCGATTTTCTGCAGAAAGGAAAAGTTGATCTCAGTTTTGACAAACATCTGTAACAAGGTGGATTGTGTCTCCCTGAAGGAAATTCCTATTAGTTTTTCAAAAGCATCTGCACCTAAAAATTTCTTCTTGTTTCAATATTCCTTCAACATATCTAGTCTATGTGTTGACTATAATGTTGTCTCCTTAAAACCTTCTCAGGTAGGTTACAATAACAATTTCCAGTGTTACCCAGGCAAATATGTAACATGCATTTTCCAAACAGGAGTGATCTGATGGCAGACAAAATAGAAAGGATCATCTTGATGGTACTAGCAAAGGTTTGATGGAAAATCCAAAGCTGACTTTCTTCAGCTTTTTTGTACGTGCAGAATGCTTCAGTACAGTTTCATTAGCAATGATGTGCAGAGCAATAATAGGCAACACATAATTTTCAGGAGTCAAATGCATGCAGAATATCAACCTATTTCAGTAAGGAGCCTCTATTCTTGCTAAACACGAGACGCCAAGTGAAGAACACGGAGCACAGGGCGGTGTTACCTTGGCTTCTGCCACTCGCTTCATCTCCACGTACTTGAGGTCCTGCGTCCGCATCACTTTGGCCTGCTCAGGAGTCACCTCGTCCTTAGGCTGCTTGACCACGTGAACTCCGTCCTGGAAGCAGAGAGGGGGTCACCCCGGTCGGTGGGAGCGGGGCCCCCCGGATGCTCTCCCGGGCGGGGGGCTCCGCTGCTCCCAGCCCGGCGCGGTGCCCACCTGCAGGTTGCTCCGGACCATCTGGAAGTAGAACTCGTCCGGGTTGCGCTCCAGCGCCTTCCTC